TAAATGTTACATTTTATAGGCTGCTACTATAATAATTAAAGAATCTGTTGAACCCATATTGGAAGAGTATCGTCCATCGGGAATTTCATCTTTGAAGTTCAGCAAACTTTCTCTTGGAAGTGTGGCACCAAAAATTGAAGGTATAATTTATAGGAAAATTCCAACACTCACAACTTCTTTAAAATATTTCATTCCTTCAAAAACCATATGTGTAGGAATCCGTATTCAAAGCCCTAAGAAAGGTCAAATATCAATGGACATGGATTTTCGATGGGGTGGTGATCCAAATATTGTTTTAGGAGTCGAAGCTGCAGGTGTTGCTTCATTACCTATTCAGGTAACCTAATTTTGAACCAATGATTACAATGATGTTATTGAACTATATACTTAATTAATTGTCATCTTGTTTTTGTTCTTCTATTCCTTATAGTTGAAGGATCTTCAAGTGTTTACAATTATTCGTGTTATTTTCCAACTCTCTGAGGAAATTCCTTGCATCTCTGCTGTTGTTGTGGCTTTACTTTCTGAGGTATCTCTCAAATTATTATATGACACCTTGTAAATAAATTCTATTAATCATAGTCATGATGTGGAAATTTGAAAAAGGAAAGTTTAATTTGAAACAATGAACAACTTTAGCTAATTTCTGAAACATAAATGCCGAAAAAACACTTGATTCTTTTGTTAAAAAACGCTCATTCTTAAAAAACTAGTGTTCTTTTTCATTTTAGAATAATAATGATTTTTTTTGTAATAGAAAAATGATTATAATGGTTTGAATGGTTAAACACTCAAGTACGATTGTAGATTAATGATCGTACATCTCACTCTTTCTCTAAATTGCTAATACTTGTAAAAAGTGTAGTGTTTATTTATGTTTTTTTTTTTTTGGATTTTCATGAGAACACTTGTTTATTTGCAAGGAAATCCAAATACAATGGAAAAAGTAAATAAATCTTTTTCGGGAGAATGCAAAAAGCGCATCACACTTTTATTTATTTGTTTATTCTAGCATCATACTTCCACTTCAGTGTATTAGAGTATTGTACTTTGAGATTTTTTTTCTTTATCCATTGTACTTCAAAAATCTACCCAATGATAGCAATGTATTTTAAAACTTCTTTTAGTTGGAGAGTGTACTTTGAAAAATCTACCTATTATAGCAGTGATTTGTATTCGGATGCCATTGCCATAAATGTATAGATTTTTCAAAGTACAATATTATATTAGGAAGAAATGAAAATAGGATGTTATAATAAACAAATAAATGAAATTTTAACCTGATCTTTTTTTGGTATCAGCCAAAGCCAAGATTCGATTATACATTGAAGGCTGTTGGTGGAAGTTTAACAGCCATTCCTGGACTTTCGGACATGATTGAAGTAAGTTTTTTATATAATTGGATTGCTATTTTCTGAATCATTTAGGCATTATAAAAAATTCTAATACTTATATCTTGATTTATGTAGGATACAGTAACTTCAATTATTACCGATATGCTTCAATGGCCACATAGAATTGTTGTTCCCCTTGGTGGTATACCTGTAGATACAAGGTAAACTTCATTCTTAAAATATTATATTTACATAATATCACTCATTTTTAGGAAAAAGTTCAATGACTTTACTTGACTTTTCACCGAAATCGCAAAAAAAAATATATATATCTAAGAGTCTAAAAAAATGGCAATTCTACACAATTACAAAAATATTTTGGGCGGTTTTATGCTTTAACCACTAATACTTTGTTTTCTTTTAAGAATAAAAGTTAATGATGTTTTGTTAATAATTATGCAGTGATTTGGAGCTTAAACCACAAGGAAAGCTCATGTTAACAGTTGTGAAGGCACATAATTTAAAAAATATGGAAATGATGGGAAAATCTGATCCGTATGTAGTTGCATTTATTCGGCCACTTGAAAAATTCAAAACCAAAGTCATTGAGAACAACTTGAATCCTGTTTGGAATCAAACATTTCATCTCACTGTGGAAGATAGAGAGACCCAATTTGCTATTGTTGAGGTCAAATTCGTACTTTCCCCTTGTTTGTTTTCTTGTCTAATATAAATGTAACAACTTCCTCTTTTAGAAAGCACAAACATACAGAAGAGCACTTGCACTTTCACCACTTTATCGGTTTAGCTACTTAACCATTTTCTATAGTGAATAAACCATTATAATATTTTTGATGCTTTAAAAACAAAGGTTAATCACAAAATTGACCCAAACAAGAGGTGTATAACCATGGACTTACGCATAATTTCTTTTATTGCAAAATGACTCTATGAAGGGACCCCACTACATAAAAATCTTAAATTTTTTGTGAAGCTCTTTTTTTTTGTTTACAAAATGAAATCACTCTTCGCAAGAAAAAAGTAGAAAAAAGATTGTTTCAAAATGGGTGGTTATTTTTGTCATTAACCCTTAAAAACATTTTTCCCCATTACCATGTTATGAACGTTGAAAAGCACAATGTACTTTCACAATTTTGTTGATTTTTCCATTGAACTACTAAGAATATAATCATTAAAGATTAATAATTTAGTGGCTAAATGAATGAAGTAGTGAAAGTGCGATGTGTTTTTCAGTATTTTGTTGTTTTTGGAAAATGGTTATTTTCTTTAAACCGTCAAAAGAGTATAATGGTTTAATTACTACCGAAATTAGTCTAGTGGCTTAATTGATTAAATGGTTAAGATAATACAATTACAAAGGCCTTTTTATTGTATTTAAAATACATAATGTGTAAATTCAAAATAGGTTTTTGATGAAGATATTGGAGCTGACCAACGGTTGGGCATAGCAAAATTACAGTTGATTGATCTTCAACCTGAAATTGAGAAGGAACTTGAATTAAGACTACAACCTTCCCTTGATATGATGAAGATAAAAGATAAGAAGGATAGAGGAACTATTACAATCAAGGTAAAAAAACATATTGATTGTTTCCTTTATTTTTAGAGCTAAATGAAAGAAATAGCAACGTACTCTTAGTTTTATTTTCTTGTTAAGGCATTTAACATTGAAAAATCTACCAAATTTAGCATATTTTTTAATAGGACATTATACTTTGAAAAATCTACCCAATTATAGCAATGCACTTTCCTTTGAATTCAGATGACATTGTTATAATTGGATCGATTTTTTAAACCTTAACACTAGAATAGGAAAAAAATGAAAGGCTAATGTTACATTATAATAAACTAATTAATGATAGTGCATTGCTATTCCCTTCATTTAACCTTATTGCTTAAGATAACTGTTTTTATGATCGAGTAACTATTGGATGATGAGGATGAGGATGAAAATGATATCAGTATAATTGGATAGATTTTTCAAAGGTTAATGCTATAATAAACAAATTAATAAGGTATGTTGCTCTTTCTTGAAAATGTTTGAATATGTAGGCAAGGTATCATCAATTCACTAAAGAAGAACAAGATGCAGCATTAGCAGAAGAGAAGAGGGCACTTGAAGAGAAAGAGAAAATGAGAAACGAAGGTGCCATTAATAGCACCATGGATGCCATTGATGATCCCACACACGTGGATAAATGAGCTTGAGACAATATTCAAGTGTAGGAATCTTAAGTCTTTTTGAAAAGAGTCCTAAAAATTCATTGATATTTTTTTTGTAACTATTATGTTTGTAGATCGACTACATGTAAATTTTGTTGCATAGGAGATTATGATTTCTCACTTCTTTGAGATGCACCTTTTCATAAATGAAATTTTTTTTTGTCTTGTTTATTATTGTCGCTTTACCAATGATATTATGTATACAAATGATTTATCTCATTTGTATGACATTCATTTTAATGATTTAAGGTAAATATAGGTACCTTACGTACATTATCTATAACTCAATGCACCTTGTGGCTTCTGTTGTCTTTCAACATGTCAATGTGGTCATACGATACCTAAAATGACAGGACCTTTGGTCACACTTGAACTTATAAAATAACATGTGGCAAAAGGCATATGGTCACACTTTTTTGTATGTCACACTTTTTTGTGTGGTCTATGTCGATTTTTGTACTAGTGCATGTGATCCAAACGATCCTTGACTTCTCGATTTTGCACCACTCCACACACTCCTTGTGCTTGCATGTTTACCCATATTTCCAAAGCGTGTTGATTCATACACAACATTTTTTTTGCCACAATAATGGCATGGTCTTTTTGCATATTGTACAACCCATCTAAAGCATGCTCTGTTGGGTATAGCAAAAAAACTGTTTATTCGAATCATTTCTCATTTTCAAAGCCTACAATGATTCGTGTAATGTAAGGTGACACTACCTTTTTCACCAACTCTTTGAGCTCCATTTTAGCTAGAGAAAATCGAACTCGGCATTGTTGGCTTTGGAATACATGTACAACGAGCCTTTGATATCACTTGTTGGATCAAAATATGACCAAAATATATGCAGTTTGAAGCTGAAAGGTGTCACCAGAAAATTGCTTGGGGCTGCAAGAATGGTCTAATGAAACAAAGAGAACTGAGAAGGGAGAGTGGAAAAGTTGAATCCAAAATTTTCCTTCAATTAAACAACATGAAACTGTATAGTGCATCGAAATAAAGAAACAAAAGGGGACTACTGCTACTGCTATATCTACTTTTTGGAAAGGTTGGAAACAGACGAAGGCAAATCAATCTATTTGAATGTAGAGGGTGACCCACTCCTCATCCCACTCCCCAATAATACGCATGAAAGAGCAAATGAAAAAGCTCCACAAAATTGGCCACTTGCTAAAGAAAAAGTAACCTCCTTTTTAGTTTTAAATTGTCAAGTTTGTCCTTAATCCTTGCAAGACTTTGGTTGGAGTTGGACTCCGGTCAACCCGCTCGAGTTTGGTTTAAACTCACAGTCACAAACACAAGTGTTACATATGTGAATTGCTCTTTCATCGATTTGAACAAACATTAACTAGATGGAAAAATGAAAAATCCATTCGTTCAAAAGAACAATGATATTAAACAAAGCTAAAAACTCTAAACTAGTAGGACTTCATGTGGAGATTATTGACAACATTAAGTCGTTTATTGTATTCATCTTGACATGCATATGGCAAAATTGGAGTTCTGCAAATCGGACAAGTACCTTGAACAAGATCCATCCAACGATCCAAACAACCTTGATGGAAAGTATGCGTACAATTTATCAAGCATCTAATCTTGTCATCACCCTCAAACTCATTCAAGCAAACTGCACAACTTTCTTGCAAATCTTTCCTCTCATTAATGTCCTTGAAGTTTCTGACCACAAGGAATTCACGTGTCACCATAGCTGAAACAGGACTGCTTCTAGATAGTTTTTGATGATCATGATGATGTTGGGGTTGAACCAAATTGAAGATACGAAAAAGAAACAGAACCATGTTTTGAATTGAACATAAAACAAAACATGCGTATAGAATATACTTGGAAAATCCCGTTTCTTTGAAACCCATATACATGCCCATTGATGTCCTTGTATGTGTGTGTTATTAGGGTGTGGAGAAAAAAGAGGTTGGATCTGATTATAGGTTCCCTTCAAACTTCAAAGCATTATGGATCCCTATATATTAATGTGTGTGAGGGGGTGAGGGGGGATCATTATTAAACGAATAATAATTTAGAAACAAGCGCACTTTAACTTTAAACATATATAAACTTTAACTTTAAACATATATAGTGATAGCATGGGCCAAAGTAACGAATAATTAAATTATATTAAAAGAGCATATAGCCTTTCACACGTGGCCAACCAAAATAATCGTGGGCAACTATTTTATTGATCCATGATACTCCACACATGGTCTAAACGTATCAAAAATATACTTTAAAAAACGTATATACAAATGCAAAGAAGTTCAACTACATAAATGAATAAAAACAATTAATTTTTTGTTTTCTATAATGATAATAAAAAGAATATGTGTATATAATTTATAAAAATATTGATCAACTTGCATACATATGAGAGATGAGTTGATATCATAAAATTATAGTCGTTTGTTTTTAATTTATTTTTTGGTCATTGATATTGAGTCTATATGGTTTCCATTAGGGATATAAAAATATAAATTTTGAATATTTAAAATTCAAATAGGGATTCAAGATAATACATATCAAAATACCCCCACAACATTTATTTTCATCTTCTAAAGACAAAGTAAAACCTATAACAAAATATACTAAAATGTATATGGTGTCAAACTCACCATATGCCAACAATTCAGCATAGCCCTTCACAAAATTAGATCAAACAAATACACACACACTTTCTTGAATCAATTTTTGCAAACAATATTTACCACAAAAACAAAAATACAAATTTTAAAACACCAAAATTTGTTCTTATTCTAATTACCAAAAAAAAAAATGTCAAAATTCGATCCATATGAACACCTCAAGATTCTTAATAATGAAGATGGTACAATTACTCGCCTTGTTCAATTCCCACAAAAGCCTGCCACCGGCGACGGTGAGCTCCTCCCTGGTCAAACGGTGGTCAGCAAGGATGTAACGCTCGACGCCACCAAAAACACATGGATACGAATTTTCCGGCCGGCGAAAATACCCTCCAACGACAGCAAAATCGCACGCCTCCCATTGGTTATCTACTTCCACGCCGGAGGTTGGATTCTTTTCAATGTAAACGACATGATGAACCACGACGCCATGAACAAACTCTCGGAGGAGATTCCGGCCATCGCAGTTTCAGTCAACTTCCGGCTAGCTCCGGAGACCAGACTCCCAGGGCAATACGAGGATGCGATGGACGCTTTAAATTGGGTGAAAAAACAAGCCACGGATCCAAACGGCGAACCATGGATCACACAATACGCCGATTTCTCTAGGGTTTTCCTCTACGGAACCTCATGCGGCGCCAACATTGTTTTGAACACAGCATTACGAGTTCTGGATCAGGATCTATCGCCATTGACAATCGGGGGAATCATACTGAACCAGCCCTTTTTCGGAGGCAAAAAACGAACGAAATCGGAGCTAAAAATGGCGGCGGATATGTTCTTTCCGTTGCCGGTGATCGATCTTTTGTGGGAACTTGCTTTACCGAAGGGTACGGATCGAGATCATCGATTTTGTAATCCGTTAGGGGATGAACAAGTGAAGCAAAAGATGAAGAGATTAGGGAGGTGTTTGGTTATAGGGTTTGGAGGGGATCCATTGATTGATAGGCAACAAGATCTTGTGCAATTGATGGTGATGCAAGGGGTTATGGTTGAAGCCAGATTTGATGATGTGGGGTTTCATGGGATTGAAATGATTGATCCAAGAAGAGCTTCTGCAATTCTTAATTTTGTTAAAGAGTTCATCATATGATTTTTTTTTTCTTTATTAAACTTTTATTTGAAGAAAATGTAACATTTCGTAACTTTTGTGAAGATGTAATGATTGTACTGACTTAAAAGGGTTAATATCAAATTTTATGTTTTTAATACAATCAAAATAGATGGGTTGAATTGAGAGCCTTGCAAACTAATTAAAAAAATGGATTATGATTTGAGAAGGTAACATACTTTTGAATTTAATCACATTTGATCACTTAATTTTTTTTCGTGCTCTATTAACCCTTAAACTTGTTGAATTGTGCTAATTTTCCCCTTATGACCGGGTTTAGCTGGTTTCAATGGATTTATTGATCCTACGTGTCAGTTTGATCTACGTGGCATGTAGGTTCTTGTTATTAAAGGAGGGGCGTTTGTTGTTCCTTTATTGTGCCCTAATACCTCGTTGCCCTAATACCCGATGGCTTCCTCCTACAGCTTCTCATCCTCCCTCAATCGATCAAGCAAGAAATCCACAGTGAATGATCCAAAAACTTGTGATTGTGGGTTCCCTGCACGTATTCTAACATCAACAACACCAAAGAATCCAAGGAGGCATTTCATGGTGTGCAATGAGGTAAGTAATTTCACTTAAATTTTCCCTCTTTTCTGATTCATTTATTCCAGATTTGAAATCTCACTTTGAAATTTTATTGTGGAAGGGTAAATGCAAATATTGGAAATGGTTGGATGTAGAACCTGTACAGATGCCTTTAATGGAAGTGGTGGAGGGAATGAAAGCTGAATTAGTAGCATTGAAGACCGAAGTAGAGAAGGTGAAGGAAGACATGGAACAAATGAAGAAGGAAAAGTACTCTTATGCCATTGCAATGAAGGAGAAAATATATAAGTTTACCATTGGATTTCTTTTTTTGATCATCGTGTATATGATGAAATGAAGTCAAATGATGTATTGAAAGATGTTTTTTGAATAGAATAGAGTTGTTATCTTAACTTCTTGTTGGAATGGAATGAAGTAACATTGATTGTAATGGAATCAGAAAGAAGTAATTTTGACTGGAATATAATTATAAAGAAGCATACATATTAACTGCATACATATTAACTTTCATTGGAATGGAATCACAAAGAATGGAGCCAGTATATCAACTTCTTGTTGGAATGGAATGAAGTAACTTTGACTGGAATGGAATCACAAAGAAGTAATTTTGACTGGAATGTAATTATAAAGAAGCATACATATTATCTGCATACATATTAACTTTCATTGGAATGGAATCACAAAGAATGGAGCCATTATCTCAACTTCTTGTTGGAATGGAATGAAGTAACTTTGACTGGAATGGAATCACAAAGAAGTATTTTTGACTGGAATGGAATCATAAAGAAGCATACATATAACAATGAATACATATATGATTTTGACTGGAATAGAATCACAAAGTAGCATACATATAAAGAATTAGTTTTGACTGGAATGGAATCATACATATATGATTTAATAATGAATACATATAATAAAAAAATAAGTGAATGTGGTGGTTGGATTCATTGAAATACTCCATTAATATTCGAAATTAAATAAGTTTTTGTCTGCATACACAAAAGTAGTTTCTAGGTAACCACAAAAGATTCCTGCATAGACAAAAGAAGGGTCACCATGTACCCATACACCTACTTGATAGTACCATATAAAAGCATAATAAAAAGACTACTACTTTGTCTTTACATCACAACTGCCTTACAAAAGATATTCCTACCCACCCACTACACACCCACTAAATTAATCAATAACTGAAGGGTTATCTGCATTGCTCCCAACCCCAGGTATCTGCCTCCTTAATGCTTGTTTGATGATCCGTTCAGAATATTTCCTCCTTCCACTTCTACTAACTGGGACCCTTCTTCTTGGTATGGGGACTGCAGGTGGTGGTGGAGGAGGTTGTTGGGTTGCAGGTGGTGGTGGTGGAGGAGGTTGTTGGACTACAGGTGGTGGTGGAGGAGGTTGTTGGGCTACAGGTGGTGGTGGTGGTGGTGGTTGGGCTGCAGGTGGTGGTGGTGGTTGGGCTGCAGGAGGTGGTGGAGGAGGTGGTTGGGTTGTAGGTGGTGGTCCTTCATTGCCCCTGGATAAACTTGGGTCTGCTCCACTGCCCCTGGATGAACATGGTACTGCAAACAACAATTAAAATGTCAATTATTTGTTCAAATGATGTAATGTTTTTAAAAATATTCACCTGATGTATTGCTTTGCTGGTTAGATGGACACTTTTTCTTGTTGTGACCTGGTTCCTTACAAATACCACACTTTATCATGCTTCCCCTTCTTGAGACAGTTTGTCTACTTGGTCTAGTTAACTCTCGTTCAATTGCATCCCTCTTCCTTTTCACTGATGGCCTACCAGGTAATCTTCTTCTTTTGGGAGGCAAAGGCTTATGGTATGGAACATCTAGCCACATATCACTACTATTGAGAGGATTAATACTATATTTGTAGCATTCTAGGTAAGCCTCAGTAGTGTATGTTTGGGTCACATATGTCTCTGCATCATGATTTAAGTAAGAGATTACTGCCACTCCATGTAAGCATGGTATCCCTGTAAGTTGCCATATTCTATAGGCACACTTCTTTGCAATTAGATCCACTCCATATGCAACATCAGTGAATCTAACCTCATACTTTTGATAACCACAAGGAGTAACTCCCCACAATCTGTTTAAAGCAAAAAATATAAATCAATAACACATCCGCATAATTAACATAAGCATATTAAAGTAAAAAACTTACCTCTGTTTAACCTTCAGCTCTTCTATATGCTTCCTAATAGTTGGGCATATAAGCAAATCCCATTCCATTCCTTCAACTCTCTGAGTGTATATCCTTTCCATCACAAATAACATAATCTCCTCCAGCATAGTGATTATAGGTCTCCTTCTAGCATGCCTAATAGCAGAATTGAAACTCTCACTGACCCCATTCTCCACAGCATCACAATCTCTTCCTTCTTGAAAGAATGCCTTAGACCAGGTAGTAGGATCTCTGTCTATAAGGTAATCATAAGCATGAGTATCAATTGATTTGATCTACTCCATTACACCTCTAAACTTCTCCACAGTACTAGCCCTTACAACCCTCCAAAATAACTTTAAGTATGCTTGACCAGTAAACCTTTTATTAAAATTGGCCACAATGTGTCTAGCACATTGCCTATGTCCAGCTTCTGGACATCTTTCCTTAACTGCTTGTAATAACCCCTACAAATCACAACATCATTATGAGTGAAAAAGCATAAAAATGAAGCATAAAAATGACCTAGTACTAACCTTGTGTCCATCAGAAAGAAGGGTAATGCCTGCACCAAGACCACCATTAATGTCATCCATAAGCAAATCTATGAACCACTTCCATGTTTCTTTATTCTCAACACATACCACAACCCATGTTAAAGGGTAGATGTGGTTGTTTGCATCTCTCCCAACAGCTGAAAGAACTTCTCCTCTAACTATACCCTTTAAAAAGCAACCATCAAGCCTAATTACAGGCCTGCACCCTTCTAACCAACCATCCCTTACAGCTTTGAAACACACATAAAACTTGGAAAACAAAGTTGTGGAATCTGGCATGATGTCTACATCCAATCTCACAGTAGACCCAGGATTTGACCTGATAATTTCCTCACCATATGACCACAATCTCCCATAATGTTCAATTAGACTTCCTTCAATCTCTTGTAATGCAAATTTCTTTGCATTTCTGCATTGCCCCACACTCACATTTATGTTGAATGTTGTTGACACTTTAAATTTCATCTTCCTTGTACTAATTTTTGGGTTCTCTATAATTTGACTCATAAAATGTATCCCTATCCATCTATAACTTACAATTGACCCAAACTTAAACACCCTACAACAATTATGTTCATTCACTAGAGATTTGATTTGAAAAGTCTTTTCTTTACTCATCCAGGAGGCCTATAGTCTGAAAGGGCAAGATGGTGACTTATGTTGGGTTTTGAGCAATCTAACACTTCCTAAGTGTGCATGCAACCCTAATAAACCTTGAATCTATGTTTGTCTAAATACATGCAAAATAATAATTTTCCAAGGTTTATAACCTATCTAACATGGCATGGGGAACATTTCAACATAAAGAGTTAGAAGAGATTACATACCTTTTTGATGAGTTTGGTTCTTGAGGAGTTTGAGGGCCAAGCACCAATAGTGTGAATGCCTCAAATGGAATCACAAAACACCACAAACTCTTGGAAAACTTTGAGAGAGTATATACACTTGTATATTTCGGCCACACACAAGCTCACACACACTAGTTCACTAGTTACACTTAGGCACCATTTCATGCTCCATAAGCATGCTTATATAGTGTGCATGGTTAGGGTGAAACCCTAATAACCCATGACCTTTCCTTTCCAAGGATCCATGGGTTAAAAGCTCCATGGATCATCCATGGAATTCCATATAAGCCTATCCAATTAACAAAAGAGCATTAGCCCACACTATATAAAACCAATAGCCCATAATCTAATTAGTCTTCCTTTTAATCTCTAAATTAATTCATAAGTAATTTAAGACTAAAACTAATTAAATAACATAATCTCATATTAATATATTATAACTTATAATATATTAATAAACATATGTGTATAACTCTCATAAAATTATCCATAAATAGTTTGGATGAGATGCAACCCAAATGGACCATGCCGGGTCGGGTCAAGTATATACCAAATAAGTTATGGACTTAGACACCTTATCCAACAGACTCCCACTTGGATAAGTCTAATAACTATATTTGCGTATGTTACTTCAGGAACCAACCAGAAATCGTAGCTCTCGAAAACTCCGTTGAACTATGAAGACTCTGTTGAACTATGAAGCGCCATTTTAGATAAGTGATCATATAATCCTCTGTCCTCATGATATCAGCCGGACAAATACATGGAACAACGTCGTACTTATTGTCCAGCAGTTTGTTTCCCGATTTCCGATTTGTTTGACAAAGAACTTAATCGAACACATCAATTTAGTTCTGGCCGGCTAGTACATAGGTCACAACAAAATCATCGAGGGGCCCAGATATCGCTTCTATTTCTAGAAGGAACAGATAAACTTCGACTCATATACTTGTTCTACTACTTGTTGAATTGTACACAAAGGCACGTTTTATAACATCAAGTTACTGATGCGTTTACGTGCAATCAATGCACAACCAACTCATAGGTAACAACTCATATCTCTAGGTTTGAAGATTTATATGATATTACCGTCTCACGATCACTCGAGATAAATTCCATAAAGTGATACAAGTGAGCGTGGGTTTATTCCAATACTCATAACTTATGAGCACTCATGAATGTTGTAGCAACCATTGCTATGACTAAACCCATTTAGCCATCTACAAACCCGATTCATGACAGTCTTGATTCATACCTACTTCCAACATATGAACGACTGTGGAGTGTTTAAATAACTTAGTCATTCGAAAGAATAACTTAGCTATTTTGGAAGTCAAAACATGCAAAGTGAAACACAATAATAATCGAATCTAATATGGTCTCAGAACCCTTTTGAATATAAATAAAACCACATTTTATTTATCACCATATTGATTACACATTATTCATTGTATATGTTTCAAATAATCAACTTAAGACTTGAATAAAACAACAGTTGTCCCATGCTCCTAGCATGTACACTTTGTTTTTCAAAACAATAGTTATGCCATACTCCTAGTATGCACACTATGTTTGTCTAGGATCTTTACTTTGTGATGTAGATCAATTGAACATGATTCCAATGATACTCATTTCACAATCCCAAATCCTTATTGTAAATGTGAGAATCCCCGATTCCTATCATTTTCCAAAAAATTTGTTAGATTTTAAACTTTTATGCAATGTCCCTCTTGTAATGATTATTCACAAAGTCACCAAAACCTTGTCACCAGTCATTATAGAGTATTCCAAAGAAGGTCAACTTCTATGGAACGGAAGTTGCATATTCAAAGTACATTGCTTTGAACATCCTTCTTGCATTAAGGTTTTCTAATCTTACATAGATTGAATAACTTCCACCTATGGAGACATTTCCATAGTCCCATTTTGACTATCACTTCCGAACAAGAGTTACTTCTTTTCAGAACATGTCAATACGGTCCTTTCCGATAACTTACATCATACTTCCAACTTTCCCTGAGCAACCAATCTTTGGCGAACCTCAGATTTGTCCTCGACAATTGCTTAATCACTTTAGTCATATCCAGTTCTAGACTTTTCCCTTCTCAATACCTTAAGCATTTGGAAAATTTAGAAAAGATGAATATTATAGCACATGAAATCGATCCTATATCCGAAGCATATGGGACACGATTCATGATGTTTCACATAAAGACATGATACTAGACCAGTCTTTTGCTACAATATTTTTTATTTGCCATGTTTTCAAAATTTAACTATGAAGAGGGATGTCGTAGTCATAATTGAATTTTGAGAACGCAATATATATAGAATTTCCTTAAGTCGAACCATTCGAACATAAAATTCATATATATGTCCTTGACTAAAGATGATTAAAATCTCAATCTAAGCTTTAGAATTGAAATGAAGTATAATTTCCTCTCCCTTAATTATAGCAAAATGACTTTTCAACCCCTGCAACTTCACGAATTGAAACTTTGTTTTCTATAATTAACATTGCTAACTTGCAACACTAAATGTAATAATCATGCTCCCACTAACATGATGATTATCAGCATAACACTTATACTCCCACTAGCTCTGACATATTTCCAGAAATCTGCTGGACTTCTGAAATTTAGATTCATACACCCTTTCTTAAATAGCTCACATGTGTGTCTAAACAATTTTCAGAACTATGAAAAGGGATGCCGTAATCATAGTCTCAATTGCTTAGGTATTTGCCATTTCTCACAAGTCCATGTTAGTGTGCTGGTTAACCACACATGCTCCACTAACAACTTTTGAAAATGAAAATAACACAATTGATATCTACGTAAAATCTACTTAGTGAAAGCGTTTCCTCACCATCATTTTCATGAATCGGAGTGAAACCTTATGACACTTAGATTTTATAGTCTATGAGTTCCTATCCATGTGAATTTGTCAAAACTATAATCACAAGATAAGGTTAGTGACAAATTCAGCCTTACATGGATTAAACTTGTTCAATCTTAGTTTCATGTCACCTTGGTAGCACAAGGCCCACCAATGCTTCCAAGTTGAACTCTGATAACTCACATGCAAATTCAACTTATTTGAAGTAGGTAGAGAAATAAGAATTATGTCAACACGATAGGTTGCAAACCTTAAGTCGTGTGCTAGTGATAAATTACAGGTTTTACTCTTGATTAAATCTTGAAACTCTTTCAGGATCTTTAAGGCTCCCACTGTCCCCTTGACATATAAGTTTCCCCAGTCAAGAACCATTCCTTGACAAAACAAATATTCAAGGGATAGTGCGGATTATTATCAAGACTAACACTTCACACAATTGTCAACACGATAGGTTGCAAACCTTAAGTCGTGTGCTAGTGATAAATTACAGGTTTTACTCTTGATTAAATCTTGAAACTCTTTCAGGATCTTTAAGGCTCCCACTGTCCCCTTGACATATAAGTTTCCCCAATCAAGAACCATTCCTTGACAAAACAAATATTCAAGGGATAGTGCGGATTATTATCAAGACTAACACTTCAAACAATTGGTCTTAGTTGGTCTTTGTCTCATCCAAGACATCATAACTTTACCAATCTCAAATGTACAAGAGTAGAAAACATTTTACTCTTACATTTGACTAGTGTTAATAAATCTTCCTTTACGTCACTCAAGGTTACAATCTTGGAGTATGACTCTAAGAATTGTTTTGGAACGAAGTATGACTCGTCTTCTTGATTTGAACCAATCCAACAATAAATGACCTCTCTTCTTAGCCATAACAATGCACTAAGACGTCCTTAGAGTATGAATTTGTGATATGGTTTCATAATCATTAAGATGATCATGAAATATGATACTAAAGTACTCTTCCATCCTTTCAGATTTGAGAAACTTTTATCTTTCTGTCTAATTTGATTCTTCTCATTTGTTTTGTCATACATTGTAACCTTTCCAATGTTACATAATTATACTTAACCTTATAAGTATAATCATATTTACTAATCTTTTAGTAAATCATGACAAATCAATCTTTGTGGTGGACCTTGACCAGCGCACACCCAGTGTACCTAATTCCTTAGTCCTTCAATTGACTCACATATACATGTGATCAAAGAATTAGTCTTAATTTTCAAAGATGAAAATTCTCATTCATCATACAATACAACTTGTATGATTCCAAGTTTCTGTCCAATTGAAACTTGGGTGATGAAAAACTTTCTTCATTTGGTAAATTCAGACACTACCACAAATGAAAGAGTCAAATCCACTTTCCAATATTGCTATTACTAGAAACATATAAGCAACAATTTTCCACATATGCCATTGTAAGGATATTTTTTTTAAAAATAAATAAAATTAAAACCCTTTTTTTCTTTTATTTTAAAACTTTGCGGAAAAACTTATCCTTACAATCCACATGAAAACTTGGGTTGTTATCTATTCCTAAGCAATATATTATAACTCTTAAGCAATAGCTCAAAATTCTGATTACCGAACCATGCGATCGAAACCCACCTTCGCAATCAGAATCAACATATACTTACTTTAAGCTTCCTATCTTTTCTTTGATTCTTAAAACATCAGCATGTGACCCATTCACATTATGTAATAAGAATCTCCAAATAAGAACTTAATAGAGTTAGTCAGTGGACTTTAATTGAAGTAGAGTCAAACTTTTTGACTTGATCAATCTTATGACCTTTCAGGTAAATATGGCAGCTTCGCAACCAATGCCCCTTCCTTTGGCAATAAAACACATAGACCCTTTGGTAATGGCACATGAGACTATCTCAGACTCAGCCTTTCTCTTTACCATTTGGTCAACCGAGTTGACTATGGCCAATCCCTTTCCATTGGGAAGAGAAATGCTTTTCTAGATATCCAATGCTACCATTGCCAATGTCCATTTAAGGTCTGGGAAGTTGATCTTCTAATAAAATTTGCTTTACTGGTGTTCCAAATCATTGCTGATTCCACATCACAAAGCAAATAGATAAGATCATTAAGGCTCGTGTCATAGTCTGTCTCATAGTAGTCCCAAAGAGACTCACTATGTTACTAAGAAAGTGATTGAACATCCAACTTTCATGAGACTTTGACACCCAACTCTCCCGGCTCGTCAATATGTGACTTTATCTTCAAGATGTGAGCACACATAGACTATGCTTGCCAATAGGGATTGAGTGACTTTAAACTTTTCAAGAACTTGTGGGTGAGGGAGAATAATTGGAGGAGGTGGAGGAAGTGAAGCATGATGTTGAGGGACACCATCTTCAAGAGATTTGGGAAGATCATAGTTGTCTGAACCAGACATCTATAATGGGAGAAAATCAAGTTAGTTGATTCAAAGTCCTTAATATAACACCCAATATGAAATATTAAGGCTAGGACCCAACACAATATTTTATAATTTGGAAGAGGGATGCCGTAATCCAAGCTATAAAATATTTGAAGGTAGGCGAATGACGATTCACCAATTTCCACCATGAAAAACAAAATAATTTATTAGGTTTTAATTGGATTTGAAATTCCTAGATCTTTTGAGATTCATTGAACTTTTCAATGGCATGTTTCAATCTTGAGTGTGCCCTCTCAAATTTTGTGACTGGGATGCCGAGGATCACAAAACAAGGTGTGAATAACCATACCAATTCACTTGGTACCCTTAATATTATCACCTAATCAATGTGCCGGTTAACCACACACGCTCCATTGATCTATGACAAACATTAAGTCACCCTTCGTGATCCTTACTAGTCCAAGTTAGTGTGCCGGTTACCCACACACGCTCCACCAACGACTTGGTAAGGTACAAAGTGTGAATTCCATGGGCTAGCACCAAATTCACATTTTTCCTAAAGTAACTAAGATTGGGAATTAAATAAAAAATATTTAGTTACTCTATAATATTCATTATACTTTTAATGAGAATTTAAAGTCATTGTCCTACCCGTTCGGCTAACGACCCTCCACCGATCAAGCAAGCGGTGGGTGAGAGTGGACACCCATTAAGTCTCCATTTTATAGGCAACAACCTTATACCCACCTTATAGACCGGCTTCGTGAATGAGGCCTACTAATGGTAAAACGACTTGTTCTTATACATATATATATAATAATTAATCATTAATGTTATAAATAGTATAAGTGTTGAATTTTAACTTTTAAAATTCTAAGTGTTGGAATTAAAGTTTATTAAAGTGTGTGAAACTTTTCCAAATTCCAATACTTGAGGGAAAGTTTTGAACAATTCATAAACTTTTGGATATTCATAACTTATGAGTTTTAATTAAGTGTTTTAAAGCTTTTAATGAAGAGTCTCTTGGAAATTCATAACTTGAGGACAAGTTATGGAGTCCATAAAACATTTATGGGAAAAACTCTTCAAGAAAATGTAACCTACAACTTCTTTAAAAAAAACATTTAAAAGAAAACTCTTGGAATTCCATAACTTGAGGACAAATTAAGAATTCCATTAAAACACATTAAGATCAAGAATTAACTAACAAACAATTTGCAAATAATTCCTATGATCTAACAAAATTCATATGAACATGAACATCCACATCAACAATTTCAAGAATCATATGAACACGTATAAACTTGAAATTTTGATTATAACTTTGAAATTGGTCCACCATCATCATTACCACATCAAAAACAGGTTTTATGAGTCCAAAACAATTTAAGGTAATGATTCTAGACCAATTCCAGCACCAAAACTCGAAGATATGCTGTCAGGGGGTCCAACTCGTCGAGTGCATGAACCAACTCGACGAGTTGGATGAGTTTTGCCTTGGACTCGTCGAGTGCCTACATGGACTCGGCGAGTCAGCTGTGCATACAGCATAAAATCTTCGTTTTTCAGCAATTTGCATCAAGTATTCAAACAAGCAAGCCTAGGCTCTGATACCACTGTTGGGTTTTGAGCAATCTAACACTTCCTAAGTGTGCATGCAACCCTAATAAACCTTGGATCTATATTTGTCTAAATACATGCAAAATAATAATTTTCCAAGGTTTATAACCTATCTAACATGGCATGGGGAACATTTCAACATAAAGAGTTAGAAGAGATTACATACCTTTTTGATGAGTTTGGTTCTTGAGGAGTTTGAGGGCCAAGCACCAATAGTGTGAATGCCTCAAATGGAATCACAAAACACCACAAACTCTTGGAAAACTTTGAGAGAGTATATACACTTGTATATTTCGGCCACACACAAGCTCACACACACTAGTTCACTAGTTACACTTAGGCACCATTTCATGATCCATAAGCATGCTTATATAGTGTGCATGGTTAGGATGAAACCCTAATAACTCATGACCTTTCCTTTCCAAGGATCCATGGGTTAAAAGCTCCATGGATCATCCATGGAATTCCATATAAGCCTAGCCCATTAACAAAAGAGCATTAGCCCACACTATATAAAACCAATAGCCTATAATCTAATTAGTCTTCCTTTTAATCTCTAAATTAATTCATAATTAATTTAAGACTAAAACTAATTAAATAACATAATCTCATATTAATATATTATAACTTATAATATATTAATAAACATATGTGTATAACTCTCATAAAATTATCCATAAATAGTTTGGATGAGATGCAACCCAAATGGACCATGCTGGGTCGGGTCAAGTATATACCAAATAAGTTATGGACTTAGACACCTTATCCAACAACTCATTCTTTTTGCAACATTTCACTAACAATCTATTAGAGTCATTTTTTTCAAACCATAGATCATACCCATTAGCAACTGCATAATTGCTTAACATATGTTTAAGCTCAGTAGGGTTAGAAAATCGCATACCTATAATTGGTTTCATCTGATCCCATGGCTGTCTCTCATCATACATAGGGTATTGGGGTGGCACGTATTCATCATCTTGATCTTCACTCTCTATAGGTTCACAAAGGATGTTTAAAAATCTATCATGTGTAGTTTTGTTTGCTGGAAATGGATAGGTAGCATCATCTTCTTCATGATCAACAGAATATGAATCTTGAATAACTGAATCCTCATCTTCATCTAAGTCTTCGTTTTCACTTTCACTTTCCTCAGCCTCAATCCAGTCGAAGATAGGTTCATTATGGTGATCCACATATACATTCATTCTCTTGTCATTAGCATATGCCAAATCCAAAAATTCCTTGTAATCACCCTCGTTCACCAGTGTATGAATTCCAAGACCTAAAGACTCTTGTGGAAGGCAGAAATAGATGTCTTTGCTTCTCGATTTGGTGAGCTTGTGAAGGAATTCCATGAATTGCTCATACCCAAACCCACTGAAGTCAACATCTCGCACTGATGCTCTGTCGAGATCAAAGTAAACTAATGGATTGGGGGCAAACTGACCATTGTAGTGGAAATCTACTACAATGAAGTTCTGGTCAGTAGGATTTGGAGATGATGCCATTCTACAGAACGATTGAAGGAGACGAAGGATTGATGGAGAATTTTGTGCCCTAGTCGAGTTTAAGGACCAAATGAGACTTCGGGGTGTGGTTTAACGAGAAGGAGACGAAAAATCGGGGCCTACATGCCACCTCTTTCGCCACGTAGGATACAAAAATACACGTAGGATCAATAAACCCTTTGAAACCGGCTAAACCCGGTCATAAGGGGAAAATTAGCACAATTCAACAAGTTTAAGGGTTAATAGAGCACGAAAAAAAGTTCAGTGACCAAATTCAAAAGTATGTTACCCTCTCAAGTCATTATCCCTTAAAAAAAAGGCTAAAATTAAGGAACTATAATGCCATATAATTTACTTGGTCATTATATAAATGTGTTTTACTGGTTCTATTGTTGGTCCTTCATCATCTAGCTGTTAAAATTATGAGAATAACCAATTACTATATCTCTTCATAGGAACCCAATAGTAAAAATGTTTGTTCATGCTTTATAGAGTATCCTTGTAAAAGAACTGTCTTTGGTTGCTTCAAACATGACATATTTGAAATATTTTCTAGAAAATTGTCTTCCTCTTGTAATGGGCAATTTCATTATCTATCTTTGCAATGGCTATTATCCGTAAGATAATGATATTTAGCACCAAACCTATCTTGAACAACCCATAAAGTGGTTTCTCCATCCTTATTGACCATTCTGCATGTCAATAATGTCATTATAGCTTGTAACATGATAAAATTAGGTCATAATTAGACGAAATAAATTAAGAAAGAAATATAAAACATATACATGCAATTTTAATAGGTGATGAGTACATGTACAGACATATATATATTACATCAAAAATTATATTTTTTAAATAAAAAAATAATTTTGAATTAATAATAAGATGTACATGAAAGTTTGTATATAGAGTTAAGATTTTTTTTTTCTTTTATGCAATATAAAGAAATATACACATTAATGAAGGCATTATCTACTCACATGAATGTTTTTCAAATGGTTCGTCAATAATTGTTATTTTGCAAGGACATACGAAGAAAAGTGCATAGTATTAATCTATTAAAACCAATTTATCGTTATAATGCACTTCTTTTACTTCATTCTTTCTTACATTTTAGTACTTGTCAAAATCTCAAAAAAATAATAATCAATAAAATGAAAATAAAAAAACTCATTTGATAATGATCTAAGTTTGAGAGCAAACATGGAGGTTGCATACTTATGTTCTAAAGATATAGTAAACACCAAGATACAAATTAGCAAAATGACAATCATGAAATAATTCATTTTAGCAACTTTTGAATGTTCATGGAAAAACAAATTCATTATGTAATCTCACTTGCTTTATTTTTTATGCATGTTTTACTTTTACCTTTTAACCATAGCTCCTAAACTTACACTTACTTTTCATCTTATAAAACCATTGTCTAGGGTCAAAAATTATCTACACTCATAAATGATTCAATAAAAGGTATACATTACCTGCACCCTACAAAATTTGTCACTGTGGGTCTAATGGTCATATATTAAGCTACTCTTAGTCCCACATTATACAAATATTTATACATGTCAGCGTATACAATAAGAAAAAGATAAAACAATGAAGATAATGCAACAGTCGTAAGAATAGTATAGATATACCTGAGCTCAACGACAATATATGTAGCCAAAATCATTGATTTTATAAGCCAAAACAAAGCTAACAATCAAAAAACCCATCGTGGTTTGATGATAACAACTATTGGTTTGAATTGGCAAACTGCATAAACACCTCAAAATCCAAGCTTGTTGACATCAATGCTTAGACCTAAAAAAAAAGTTATGTAAAAAACAATAATCGTTAATTTTATATGTTCTTGCATGTAACAGGAGATAAGAAGGGGCTATAAAAATTGGAAACTTTGGTCTCGTGAAGATCATAGCCACAAACCAGGTCCCATGTAGATCAAAACTACAAACTAGAAAACTAAATATACTAAATTACTCATGGTTTAAGAATAATTGAACATGATTTGAAGCTTACATTATCTTTATAGAATTTTCATTTTTGACAAAAGTAATTCCCTATGCATACCTTAAAAGTTATACAATTTTTTCGGACCTGAAGAAAGTAAAAATGTTAAACCACAAATCATGTATGTTTAATGAAGTGGTTCTTGTCATATAAGGTAGAGGGAATTTTGGTTTGAGGAATGATATAGAAAGTTAGAAACTAATCAAAATTCACAATTTAAATTTAAGTCTAAAAAAGGTCAATGTATCAATATTACAATTTACAATCAAGGTGAGAAAAATTATTGTATGCTTCATTTCAGTTTAGAGAGTAGAACTATGGAAGTGGTGACATTTCCATTCTTGATAAACAAAATTAAGAAATTGATCGTAGTGGGGATTTTGATTTTCTTGATTTTTGTTTATTTGAATCATAACATTCACCATGGAAACCAAGTAAATTTCTTGGATTAGTAAAAACATTACAACTTAAATCGAAAGGTTAACAATAGAATTAGTTATATATACAAAATCAGAAGTTGTGTTCAATGTACCAATACTGTAAATCTCGATTCTAAGCCTAGAGACCTTACTCCACAGTGGGCCATGAGGCCCAAAGTTTTAAGGCCCAAAAACCCATATTTGCTACTCTGCATGTGTATGCGCGGTGTACCTGACACATATGTCCAGCGTACGTTGGCCTTGACCAAAAGCGGGAAGTTGATCCAGTACGCACAGCGTATCAAGTTGTACGCCGAGCGCACTGGCCAACTTCCTTAAGACTCCTTTTGTGACTTAATCCATTAATTCCTCACGTCCAGAACATTGATCCATGTCCTTTAAGACATCCTAATCCATAAAGTTACGAACTTTATGTTTTTACATGCATAAATGGGGGTTAAAACAAGATTTAATTCCTTAAACAAACTTTATGACTATCAAACACTTGCATGGTTGTGGCTTAACCATCAAGGTCTGATTTTTATTACTCTAAATGCTTCCAAGAGCTCAAAAGGACAGCTCTTATGGTCTGGAACTACCAAGACACAAGAAACCTCAACAATGGAGTCAAAATAACCCATAAAACACCCCAACACTACAACTAAGTATGCAATGGTCAAGTTTGAAGTTTGATACCTTAAATGAGTCAGAAAATGTGTTGATCCCTTGGATCTACAAGAGCTCTCTTCAAGTACTTTCTCCTTCTTCAAACTTCCTTCTCTTCAAAATCACAAAAACAACACCAAAATGCTCAAAGTAAGCTCCAAAATACAAACAAGAGGGTTAGGGTTCGAGTTGGGCCCTGAGAGAACAATGGAGGCTGGGAGGATAATGGTTTTGAAGATTATAAGTTGTTTAAATATAGTGAAAACCTTAAATTTTAGGGTTTGCATCTGGCCACCTTACAAATCTCCCTAACTTGAATTAGACTTTATCCTCGAATTTTGTTGCTGCTGTCAGGAATAACTCGGGATAATGCTCCCTCATCTCGTCCTCTGGCTCCCACGTCTATTCTGAGCCCTTACAGTGTTGCCTTTGCACCATGACCAAATCTACTTCCTTGTTTCTTAGAGCCTTCGTCTTCCTGTCAAGAATGGCTACAGGCCTAACGATGTAGTTCAGGTTGTCATCCACCTGAATGTCCTCAAACAGAACCACCGCGGAATCATCGACTATGCACTTTTGCAGCTGTGAAACATGAAAAGTGTTGTGGATCTGTCTAAGCTCCTTCGGAATATCCAACTTATATGTTACCTTGCCCACTTGGGCTGAAGGGTCTGATATACATGGGGCCCAACTTGCCCCGCTTTCTGAAGTGAATGACACCCTTCCAAGGTGACACCTTCAGAAGGACCATGTCCCCGACCTAGAACTCCAAGTCTAATCGGCATTTGTCGACTAGCTCTTCTGACGACTCTGGGCTGTTTGGAGTCTACTCCAAACCTGTTGGATCTTCTCTATTATCCTGAGTACCACCTCCGTACTCCCCATGACTCTCTGGTTGACCTTACCCTAATATATTGGGGTCCTGCACTTCCTCCTATAAAGCATCTCGAAGGGAGGTCGATCGATACTGGCATGGTAACTATTATTATAGGAAAACTCTGCTAAGGGAAGGTAGGTATCACAGCTACCACCGAAGTCTAAAACGCACGCCCGCAACATATCCTCCAAAGTATTGATGGTCCGCTCGCTCTAACCATCCGTCTGCGGGTGGAAAGCCATGTTGAAGTGCAGATGAGTACCCAACTAGTCATGAAATTCTTCCAGAATCTGGAAGTGAACCGTACATCCCTGTCAGAAATCACAAAAATTGGCACCCCATGTCGAGCTACTACCTCCTGGATGTAGATGTCTATCAACTTCTCGGCCGAAATACTCTCCTGAATCAGTATGAAGTGCGAGTTCTTGGTCAACCGATCGACGATGACCCATATCGCGTCAACTCTACGCGCCATCCGAGGTAACTTCATAATGAAGTCCATGGTAATATTCTACCATTTCCACACAGGGATATCCAACAGGTGCGTCATGCCGTGAGGCCTCTGGTGTTCGGCCTTGACGTTCCTACAGGTCAAGCACCTCTCGACGTACCAAGCAACATCCTGCTTCATGTAGGGCCACCAGTAATCAGGAAAAATATATCGATACATCTTCGTCGCCCCCGGGATGAATGGAAAATCTGGATTTGTGTGCCTCCTCCATCAGGACTTGGCGCACACCACCCGAGAATGGAACCCACACCCTACAATGGAGTGTCAATAAACCATGGCTATCATAGTCGAAGGAGGAAATCTGACCCACGATATGCTCACTCTTCTGGTGCTCCTCCTTTATAGCCTCCTGCTGAGCCTCCCGAATCTGCTCCAAAAGCGGATTCACTACCTTCATCCTCGAGCAGATGTCTCTGATCGGGGCCGCGAATGCCTTGTGGCTAAGTGCATCATCCACAACATTGGCCTTCCCTGGGTAGTAGAGGATCACGTAATCGTAATCCTTCACCACGTCCAACCACTGTCTCTGTCTCATGTTTAGATTTGGTTGTTCCATCAAGTACCTCAAACTCTTGTGATCTGTGTAAATGGTACAACAGACGCCATAGAGGTAGTGTCGCCAAAATCTTGAGGGAAAACACAACCGCCCCCAAACCCAGGTCGTGCGTCGGATAGTTCACCTCGTGAGGCTTCAACTACCTCGAGGTGTAAGCACTGACATGTCCCATCTGCATCAATAATGTGCCCAAACCTGAGATGGATTCATCATAATATACTACAAAATCCTCAACACCCTCTGGTAAAGTCAATATCGGTGGCTCGCATAACCTCTGCCTCAAAGTCTCGATGACCTGCCTGTTGCTCAGGCCCCCATCAGAAAATCACCGACTTTTTGGTCAATCGGGTCAGTGGAACAGTAATCTTGGAGAAATCCATAATGAATCTCTGATAGTAACCCGCCAGACCAAGAAAACTCTGAATCTCGGATGGAGACCTCGGAACCTACCATCTTATCACGGCCTCTAGCTTGGCGGGATCGACCAATATACCGTTTTGGTTGATAAGATGCCCCAGAAACTACATCTCCCACAACCAAAACTCGCACTTGGAGAACTTTGTGAAAAGTCTCTCCCTCCTCAATGTCTCTAGCACCTCCCTTGGGTGCTCCTCG